AATTAGGGGTATTACAAGCACCTAAACAATGGTATGGAAAATTTGACAAAGTGTTGTTGTCAAATGGTTTTAAAATTAATGAGTGTGATAAATGTGTTTATGTGAAAAACACTCAAAATGGATATGTCATTGTGTGCGTAAATGTGGATGATATGCTAATAATGGGCAGTAATGATGTTATAATCAAAACTACTAAAAAGATGTTGACCAAAAATTTCGATATGAAAGATTTAGGCATAGCTGATGTCATACTAGGAATCAAGATTTCTAGAACATCAGATGGTCTAGTGTTATCTCAATCTCACTATATTGAGAAAATATTAGAAATGTTTAATAAGGAAGATAATAGTCTTGTAAAGATTCCTATTGATGTAAATCTTCATTTAGTGAAAAATACTGGTCCAAGCATATCACAACTTGAGTATTCTCGCATTATAGGAAGCTTAATGTATTTGATGAATTGCACACGACTAGACATAACATACTCAGTTAATAAATTGAGTAGGCATACAAGTAATCCAGGAAAGAACCATTGGACTGCAATAATCAGGGTTCTAAGGTATTTAAGATATATCATAAGTTATGGATTACATTATTCTAGATATCCAATAGTACTTGAATGATACAGTGATGCTAATTGGATATCAAATACGAAGGATTCTAAATCCACAAGTGGCTGTGTCTTTACTATTGGAGGAAGTGCCATATCTTGGAAATCTTCAAAACAAACTTGTATTGCCAGATCCATTATGGAATCTGAATTTATTGCTTTGGATAAAGCTGGTGAAGAAGCTAAGGGCTTCGTAATTTCTTAGAAGATATTCCAAATAGGTCTAAACCTGTGCTCGTTATATGTATACATTGCGATAGTCAATCAGCAATTGGAAGGACACAAAGTAATATGTATAACGCTAAGTCTCGACATATACGTCAACGACATAATACCGTTAGACAATTGCTCTCAAGTGGGATATTCTCAATAGATTATATCAGGTCAAAAGATAATTTAGCGGATCCGTTTACAAAATATTTAACAAGAGAGCAAGTGTATAGTTCATCGAGAGGAATGGGACTAAACCCGAAAGCTAACGAGTCATCTTAATGGAAATCCAACCTAGTTAACTGGAGATCCCAAGATCTAGGTTCAAAGGGACAACAGAAATTCTGAATGGCTCACCAGAAGCACTGAGAAGATTTAATTTTCTACCCATTTCTATGATGAGACAGTGCTACCTACAGCAATGAGTAGGATAAGCTATGCTTTTAATGACTCTTATACCTTGAAAATTCAAGTGGGGTATAATAGGATACTTTAAATAAGAAGTTACCTATATGAATGTGAAGTGGGGCCGCTTCTATAAAAGCTTATACGACTAAGTTTTCTAAAGCGCTCATAAAATACCAGGAGTTGTTCAGGGCCATATGAATACAACTGTGAGAACCGATTTTGTGCAGGATGGAACTGTGTGTTTGCTATTGTCTTGGTTTACATCAATGGTTGAATAGTTCAAGACATCATGTTCATTGATTAGCTAGTAAATCTGATAGTAATACACTAGGGAAGGTTCAAGGCCAAAAGCTACCTATCCCGATATAGTAACTTTCCAATAATACTCTCTCTAGTGTCTGTATCTTTTTCATTTGTATTTTACGCAAATTTCCATTTATGTGGGGGATTGTTGGAAACGGGGGCATTAAAAACATAAACTTTGGATGAGATTTGGAATAGATTCCGCTAAGAATTTTTTACGGATCTCTAGAACGAGCGCGTTTCTCTACGCAAGGAGATGAATGTGGTATATTTACTTTCTCAAATCCGTTTATGGGTGAATGAGAAATTAGCTCAAAAGTGTGGTGTTTTGATAAGCCTAAATGGGTATGCAAAATGTGGGAAGTGTTTGTCCCACATGGAAAATATGTTGAAACCAATTGAAATTTAAATAAGCCAAATTTGGGATTTGGGCTTGGGCTTGGGCTTGGGCTTGGGCTTGGGCCTAGGCCTAATTGTAAAGTCCGATTATTCTTTTTACTAAATGAAATTTTGGATTGGCCTTTCTTTTTGGGTTGAGCTTATTTAAATAGGTGATTGATTTTTGAATTTAAATTCAAAGTTAGTTTTTTTTTTTAAAGGGTTGAATATAGTTTTTTTTTTTTAAAGGGTTGCATCTATTTCCAAAGAGTTACATCTATTTTCCAAAGAGTTGCATCTGTTTCTAAAGGGATGCAACTTGTGATGAACCAACATGACCCATGGTGGCACCCATACCCAAAAAGGCACATTGTTTCCTATAAATACCCCCTTTAGGGTTATTTGCAAACACACCAAAATTCAGAGAATTCTTTTCTTCTTCTGAATTTTCTTCTTCCTCCTTCTCTCTTTAGTCTGTCGATTCGAGCCTTAGTCAGTCACTCCGAGTCCGAGTCCGAGTTCGAGTCAGAGAGTACTACATCGAGCCGGTTTGCCTATTCCTTTGGTCTGTAGTACTACTACCAAAGGTAGACAAGTCGTTGTATCTTGGGAGATAAACGCCACTGAGTCCGTTAGCACCATAGCTGGACAAATCTATCTTAAGGATATAGAATAAAATTCTAGCCTCGACTTTTAATCAGGTTCCTTTATTTATAATTTTTATTTTATTTTATTAAACTATATATTATAAGTAATTACTCACCGGATCTGGTGTTTCCGGTGATCTCCAGCCCTTTGATGGAGTCTCACAACGCCGGACTCTGCCGTGTTCTGGTGCTTGCCTTCTGCATCACCGGCATTTGGTCAACTTATATATACCAAGGAGTTCTTCAAGAGACCGTGTAATTTTCCTTTTCCATTAGTTTCAATTGTTCAAACCGACACGTCTTCTTCTTTCATATATAAATATTATATTTTTACATAATATTTAAATAAATAGTACTATATAGTATATGGTATACTTGGACCATATTTTGGAAAACAAACCCTTCCTTAGTGAGTAAACATGTTTATGCATTTAATGTTAAAAGTTAGGTCACTACGTAGGCGCTCACTCTCTCTCAAGCTCTTAATTGAATTGCACAGCGTATTGGTTCCTTTTATACCCCTAATTATACCTCAATATACAGAAAAATCTTATGAACTTTCAGTTTTGCGTTAAACCCCCTTGTATTTTTCTATATTTTACAAGTTACCCCTTCTGTTAGATTGTCATTTTAACCTTCTAACCTTTTGCAAAAAACCAACCCATTGAACAGCTTTTGAGTAAAAAACCCTTGTCACCTTTCATAATTGTGCAAAATGCCCCTAAAGTCAGATGGCCTTTTAAGTCTTCATTAATTTATAATATAAATTTACCAGTAAGTCCTACTTTTTTCTATTTTATATGTAGATATACATATTTCTCTATGTGTTGAATTTCATGATCAACCTTTCAATATCTAGAGTGATAAAAATATGAATAAGAAAAAACAATGCTAACATCCTAGGCCGCTAAATTAAAAAAGATTATTATTATTATTATTATTTTGTCACATTAGTTATATTGTGATATTATATTTTTGTGACTAAGACAACAACATATAATTTTGTTTTAGTATTTTTTTTCTTTTTGTATTTTTCTTTCTTGTCAACATTTTGAATTCATGAATTAGCAAGGGATGCTCATTCAGTCATCACAAATGCTACGTGACAAGTTAGAAAACTCTACCAGCAAACAGACGAACAATGGATTTAGAAGACTCTTCCAATGGTTTGTAGTAATTAAAATAGTAAGAGGCAATACTCAATTTTTAAAGAACAATTTACGTAACTGTAGTTTGATTTCCCAAGAATAAAATAATCTACGCTCTCAAACAATTTACCAAGCAAGCCGAAAATTCCTTGCTTTGATCATGGATATATGAGGGTTATAGAGGATGAAACCAAAAGTACAAACATCAACAAATAAATCATTTTGAAGACAAAACAAGAAGATTCCTTGTTATTCGTCTTATCTTAGATACATTTAAAGAATGTGGAAGTCCATCTTTATGGGAGAAAAATTCCTTGGACCAGTTGTACAGTGCAACGAGCACATCGGACCGTTTATTGCTATGCGTGCAATACACGCACGGGCACGTGTTTTCCACGGACGGTTCGGATGCGCCCTTCGGCCGTTGCACTGTGCAATGGGCAGAAGGAGGTTTTTCTCATCCATGGGATCATAGATGACATTTTTTTTTTTTGATGGTAAGAAATCAATCATATCCCACCAGTGTTAATGACCTTCAAAAACAATTTGCCTTCCTTTAGATATCTAAAACTCACTCAAAATTTTTAAAAGTGAGCTCTAAGGATTTTTACTGTTCACCATAACAATCAAATGGCCCAATAATAAGTGGATGCAATAAATGCTGTTTCAGGACATTGCTTGAAATCAAATCCAGAAATCCATTACCTAATTCTTCTATCTGCTTTTCAGATATATTGCAGCACTCTACCCCTAGACCTGCCACAGTTTCAACATGAGAAACACAGTCATCTTTCATAGGTAAGTGTCGAAATTCCAAGTCATTGCAAAAATTTAAATTCTAAATTTTTTAAACAATAAGCCAAGCACAAGACTCGCTAATACAAAGACTTGGAGTCAAGTATTTGCCAAAAATAAATAAATAAGACGAAGAAGAAGACTTGGAGTCAAGTTCTAACCCAAAAAAATAGACTTGGAATGAAGTTCATATATGCCAGAATACAATAGTTATGGGTCAACCCCAGCTCTATTTTAAAACCACCACCTGCTACAATAGTTCTTCACTTCGTCTTCCCTTGTTGCCTAAATATGAGGTTTCCTCTATTCCCATGGTTTTTCTTGATCACCACACACTCGATCTTTATCACTCCAGTATACGCCCAATGTTTAGACCATCACAAAACTTTGTTGCTCCAGTTAAAGAATAGCCTCATATTCAACTCTTCATATTCAACCAAGCTGGTGCTCTGGAACCATAATATGGATTGTTGCGAGTGGAGTGGTGTAACGTGCGACAATATGGGTCGTGTTATTGGTCTCGACTTAAGCGATGAATCAATCTCTGGCGGAATCCACAACTCAAGTAGCCTTTTCAATCTCAAGTCTCTTCAAAGTCTGAATCTTGCTTATAACAACTTAAGCTCTTGTCAAATTTCATCTGGGTTTGAGAAGCTAACTACGTTGGTGTCTCTGGATTTGTCAGATGCACAATTGACAGGACAATTTCCTATTGGGATTTCGCGTTTGACAAGGTTGGTCTCTCTGAATTTCTCTTTGAACTACTTAAAAGTTGGCAACTCAAATCTAAAATTGCTTGAACTTGGCAACTCAAATCTAAAATTGCTCGTTCAGAATCTCACGGAGCTCACAGAACTCCGTCTCGATTTAGTAAATATATCGTCCAAGGGAGAGGAATGGTGCCAAGCCATATCTTCTTCACTCCCTAAACTGCGAGTCTTGAGCTTGTTTTCCTGTCATCTCTCAGGTCCTCTTTGTTCTTCCCTTGAGAATCTCCGATCCCTTTCGGTGATCAATCTGAGTCATAACAATTTGTCCGCCCCAGTTCCAAATTTCTTTGCAAACTTCACCAATTTGGCAGAATTACTTCTCTGGGATTCTAATTTGCAGGGAACATTTCCGGAAAACATCTTCCATTTGCCAACTCTACATAAACTTGACATATCAGGCAATGAATTACTTCGGGTTTCTTTTCCAGAATATTTCCACAATGGATCTCTCCAGACCTTGATTCTTGACCACACAAATTGTTCTGGGATATTACCAAATTCTATTGGTAATCTTCGGATGTTGTCCGCGATAGTTGTTCGGAATTGCAGCTTAAGTGGAGCAATCCCAAGTTCAATGGCAAACCTTACTCAACTTGTTTATTTGGATTTGTCATACAATATGTTTATTGGTCCAACCCCATCATTTTCGAAGAACCTCACCGACATAGACTTATCCCATAATCTTTTAACGGGTACATTTCCTTCCACCCACTTTGAAGGCCTATTGAATCTTGTTCTGCTTGATTTAAGTCAGAATTCGCTCATTGGAAGCATTCCATCATCTCTATTAGAACTCCCATCGCTGAAAGATATAGATCTTTCATTTAACAAATTTGATGGTCAACTTGATGAATTTTCTAATGCTTCCTCCTCTCTACTAGAGTTCATTGATCTGAGTAGTAACAATTTACAAGGGTCGATTCCCATGTCTTTCTTTGAGCTCGGAAGGCTTACTTATCTTGCGATCAATTCCAACAACTTTAGTGGCCCAATACAACTGGAAAAGTCATTTAGGCCTAACCTTCTTCTTTTCCTTGACCTTTCAGACAACCAAATTGAAGGGAAAATACCGAACTGGATTTGGGAAGTTGGGAATGGAAGTCTCTCTGACTTGAATCTCTCTCACAATCTCTTGGTTGATTTGCAAGAACCATATGTTTTACACCCCAACCTTCAATTCCTTGACCTACACTCTAACCTGCTCTGTGGGAAAATCCCAAGAATTGGAGAATCAGCTGAATACATTGACTTCTCAAGTAATAATTTCAGCTCTTCTATCCCTCCTACTATTGGTAGTCTCCTCTCCTATGCCTCTTTCTTCTCTCTTTCAAATAATAGCATCATTGGAAGCATTCCTCCATCAGTATGCAATATGAGACACCTTCAAGTTCTGGATTTGTCTAATAATCGTTTGAGTGGCACAGTACCATCGTGTTTGATCCAAAGGAGTACAAGTACTCTTGGAGTACTGAATCTGCGAAATAACAGACTTAGTGGAAATGTTTCGAGTATTTTTCCAAACAATTGTAATCTACAAACTCTGGATCTCAGTGGTAATCGTTTGGAAGGGCAGATTCCAAAATCATTGTCAAATTGTAGAAGGTTGGAGGTTTTAAACCTTGGCAATAACATGGTAAGTGACAGATTTCCGTGCTTTTTGGAGAACATATCTAGCCTACATGTTTTAGTTTTGCGCTCTAATAGGTTCCAAGGTGACATTAATTGCCAAGGGGAAAATAATCAAAGCTGGTGGAATCTTCAGATCATGGACCTAGCTTCAAACAACTTTGGCGGCACTCTATCGTCAGGCTTCTTCTCAAATTGGAAGGCAATGATGATTGACAATGATAATGCACAACCAAAGTTTAATAATCTGGGTTATCTCTACTTTTCTGAATATACTGCTGGATACTACTATTCAGATCGAGTGAATGTCATCTACAAAGGGATAGAGGTGGAGCTGGTGAAAGTTTTAACTATTTTTACCTCCATTGATTTTTCAAACAATAGATTTGACGGGAAAATACCAGATACTGTTGGGAATCTCAAATCGCTTGTTCTTCTCAACTTATCGTACAATGACCTCCAAGACTCAATTCCAACATCATTAGGAAACTTGAAGAAGCTCGAATCACTTGATCTTTCGCGAAACAAGTTGACCGGGATGATCCCAACACAACTTGCAAGTCTTACATTTCTTTCGGTTTTGAATGTGTCATACAATCTTTTGGTTGGAAGAATTCCGACAGGTTCTCAGTTTCAAACATTCTCAGAAGCATCATTTCTAGGGAATCCAGGACTATGCGGCTTCGCTTTGAACACGAGTTGCAGTGATACTGAAGTTGCACCAAATTTCGAGGATGGGCATTCAACCTCGGAGTCGGAGGTCTACCTAAGTGCAGCATTGGGATTTATTGTGGGCTTAGGAATTATCATCTGGCCACTTGTGTTCTGTAGAAGATGGAGACGATGGTACTACAAACATGTGGATCGAGTGTTTCTAAGAAGAATAATACAGAGAAGAGTGTACAGAAATTCAATTCGACAGCTTTAGTTGGTGAAGAGAAGTGAATAAAGTGAAGTGCTTGTGATAAAGTTGAAGTCTTGGCTTGAGTCATTCCAGTGGATGGAGAGTAAGCTTTCAATTCATTGTTTAATAGCATAAAGGTATTTAATTGTTGCTGTTTTCATATAGATATATATTGCACTATCTAATAATTGCCGAGATATTTGAGATGTTAATCCTATTACATATAGTTTATTTTCAGATTTGTTGCAATTTGTTTCATATAATCCCTAAAATGCACTCTTGCTTTATAATAGCCTTATAGGGTTTGAAGTTTGAACTGCTTGCAGGGCTGTTCAATTCAATGGGAGTAGGAATTTCTTTTTCTTTCTTTCTTTCCTTTTTTGGTGGTTGTTTAGGTAAGCATCAAACACTTATTAATCTGAATTCACAAGGTAGCTATAAAAGGAAAAAGGAAAAGGAATCAAAGATATGAAAATGAAATGTTGATGATCTGAAATCATTTTGAAGCGTGAATTCTGTACCGATAGGACGCGAAGTTGTATGGTAGGTGACTCACATAGGTAGTTATATGGTAAAAACCTATGCTTCTAAATTTTAATTGTAGATTTTCTTCTTTAATCTCTTGCCATATGGGTTGGGTTATTCATAATTTCTTTTCAAATGAATGCAGTTAAGGGGAAAAAAAGTGATATTGAAAAAGGCAATATAAACCTATTAAGATATATGGAATATCATTATCTAATTTTTTACTTACCCAAAAAAATATAATAATAAATAAAAAATTACACTCACACCCCCTGAGTTTTGTTCTATTGACAGTGAAATGAAAGTTAACATTTTCTTGAACAATGACCACCCCCTTAGGTTTGATAAAGTTAACATATATACCTCTTTGATCACATGGTGAATTGAATTGACATTGCTATCCTTTGACTTGATAATTGACTTATTTGGACCATGAAATTACATTTTTAATCTCTACCACTTATTTTATTGGACCAAACTACCCTTTACTATGTTGTTGGGTTCATTTCTCACAAGCACTTTGTAATATATACAATATACTGTAATGATTGTCTTTAAAAATGTCTTTAAATATAAAGTCTATTCGATGGAAATTGCAACATTAGCACATAGGTAGGAGAAATTGAGGTAAAAAGAATGGACAAATTGGTTCTAAAATTAATAGACAAAACTATTAACTGTTACTTTTCCCATTGAAAAACAACTACTGATAGCGATTTGGTGTTGTTCGCGCAAGCTCGCGTGCTCAATTATATTTTTCAAAATTTTAGAATGAAAGGTAGAAATACTTTTAATGGGCAGGAATTGGGTACTTGAAATTATAATGGGCTGGACTGAAATATGGAATGGGCTTGGGTTTTGATTTTAAAGTGAATAAAATTTTGGATTATCTTGGGCTTGATTAAAGATGACTAAATAGTCAACTGGGCTAATCTAATATTTCATGGACTCAAAGGACATTTGATATATATATATATATATATATCTATATATATATATATATATTCCCTTAATGAAAGGAGGAGTGGAACATAGAGATGTTTGAACTCGGTTTGTTTAATAAACCAATTTTTTACTTTTTATTTTACTTAGTTTGGTACTCTTACACCCATGCTTTTACCGAGGTTTGAATCTCTAACTTCCTTTTAAAAAGTAGGGACTTGGTACCGTTGAGCCACTGACTCATTGATACTAAATCTTGAATCTTTCATATATACCTTTAATTACTCTTGGTACATTAGATATAAAATTTAGACTCAAACTTCATATTTACCCTTACAAAATTCAAAATAAAATTGAATTTAAAAATACATTTATTAATGTTTTTTTATAAAATAATTAATCTTTTGCACTACAATCTTGTATTTTACACGAGAGTTTTTGAATTGAATTTAAATTAAATTAATTATTATTTAAACTCATAATGCAATATTAGTAACTAAAACTTAAAGGAATATATAACAAAATAGATTTACATATCAATTCTTAAATAAATTTATAATTACATATTGTACTTCAATTTACTAAGGGTATACATGGAAAATGTAGTGGTTTAGAACTTAAATAGAAAAACAAAAACTCAAAAGTAGAACTTATTGGTACTAAAGAAATTTTTTTGGACAATTTGTCATTAGAAAAGTAGGACTTGATAGTAATTATTTCAAATTACTATAGTAAAATTCAATTTCACCACCAGGGATACTTCGGTAATTTTACTTTACAAGTTAAGGGAAACCGGATTGCCATTTAATAGGAGAAGATTTTTATAATTTCTACGGAGAGGTTATTTGGGTCAACAATAGGGGGTTATTTGTGTCATCTCTCAGGTCCTCTTTGTTCTTCCCTTGGGAATCTCTGATCCCTTTCGGTGATCAATCCGAGTGAGAACAATTTGTCTTCCCCAATTTCAAATTTCTTTGCAAACTTCACCAAATTGACAGAACTATATCTCATTGATTCTAATTTGCAAGAACATTTCCGGAAAACATCTTCCACGTACCAATCTTACGTACACTTGCCGTAGGGGTCAATGAATTACTTCCAAGATGGATCTCTTCAGATCTGATTCTTCGGTACACAAATTTTTCCGGTGATAGTGATGATGAAGAAGAAAGAAAAATTACACTTTAGTCTTTTTAACATTGACGCAAGTAAAAGTGTTCACGATAAACACGTTACTTTGAATTCACAAAAAATATAATTCAGCGAAATCTAATATATTATTTGATAATTAAACCGATTCTGATTTCTGTATTATATATATTTATAATGAAAGAAAACCCTAGTCCACTAACTGCAACTTGAATCCTTATAACATAAAGAAACCTAATCCAGGAATTATACTAATATCCGAAAATAAGCCTAAAAAATAAAATTTCTTATAAAAATTCTAAAAAAGTAGAGAAAGAAACTTAATAAAATAAAATTACTAAATATAAAATATGAATGCAATTCAAGTTCGTTTAGATATCGAACAAAAATTCTGAAATATTTGAGAGGCTTCTTTTGGACTGAAAATGCCCCGTTTTAAGGCCATGAAAGATGGTATTTCGCCGAAAAGTATATTACGTCACGGCATAGTAGTGAGTCTTGTTTATTGAGTCGTTTTCAGTAAAAAAAACTCTCATGTCGTGTTAAAAATGCACACTTCGAGATCAGCCCAAAAAATTTGTCAACATGTCCATTTTGCCCCCTGGCGGTCCAAACAGGTCATAAAAGCTTCAGCCATCAATTTGCTATGCCAGGGTATATAAATCCCAACAGGGTCATCAATTGCTTTGTAACACACACACACACACACACACGTGTGTGTATATATATATATATATATATATATATATATATATATATATATGAACCCAACAACTTTGTAACACACACACACACACACGTGTGTATATATATATATATATATATATATATATATATATATATATATGAACCCAACAACACTCCTTAGCAACAGACTTGTCTTCCCCAATTTCAAATTTCTTTGCAAACTTCACCAAATTGACAGAATTATATCTCATGGATTCTAATTTGCAAGAACATTTCCGGAAAACATCTTCCACGTACCAACTCTACGTACACTTGCTGTAGGGGTCAATGAATTACTTCCAAGATGGATCGCTTCAGACCAAATTGATAGTGTTTGTTGGCCGTTTTCAATAAAAAAAAATAGAACTCTCATGTCTTGTTAAAAACGCACACTTTGGGATCAGCCCAAAAAATCTGTCAACATGCCCATTGCACCCCTTAGCGGTCCAAACAGGTCATAAAAGCTTGAGCAATCAATTCTACATCAAACATTCAAGTCTTTCCTTGTTCCTCCAAAATTGAATGTTCAACAATTTTTAGAATGTATAAAGAGTTAGACACTCTATATACATATCATATGAATATTTTTTCCTCCTAAACCATGGACAAAATATTGTGAGTTTGAACTTGATTTTTCTTACGCCATGCAAGAAAGAAGGAACAGGTGTAATGAAACTCTTATTTTCAATTTCATTGTCATTCTTAAATTTAAGGGTAAATTATAATGACACCTATGAGCTTTTGCATTGTCAATATATATAATTTATGTTTAGAGTAATCTTTGCCACGGCCTAACTATTTTCTTTTTATCACTTCAGTCAAATAATAGTCTTGATTCGCTCGTGAGGAATGTAATTAAGAAAAGAAAAATGACTTTTTTCAAATCAATAATTTTTGTTTGACAACTTTTTTTCTTGACCAAGTTTTTTTATAAAAATTATAAAAGTTTCATTCATTTGTATTCATGGTCCGACTGTTTGGACCCATTTATGCTTTATAGTCCGAATCCATTTGGCTATGAGACGTCGATATTTTTCTTTGCGCGGTAAAAATATAGTAAAAAGTCTTCCCCGATTTTCGCTCCCTAGTTTCCTCTTCGTTCTTTCTGTCTCCTCATCTAGTTCATCCATCTTTCTGTCTCCTCATCTAGTTCATCCATCTTTGTCTGTCCGGTTCTCTGTATTTTCCTTATCTAGTTAATATCGCCAAAAAGCATATTACGTTTTCCGTAAAAAAAGAAAAAGAAAAAAACCCTCATGTCATGTTAAAAATGCACACTTTAAGATCAGTCCAAAAAATCTGTCAACATACCCATTTCACCCCTAGCAGTCCAAACAGGTTATAAAAGTTTCAACAATCAATTGAATATTCAAACATTCAGGTCCTTACTTGCTCCTCCGAAATTGAATATTCGATAATTTTTAAAATGTATAAAGAATTATACACTCTACTTACATACAATGGGGATATTTTTTCCTCGTGACCCAAGGACAAAATATTGTGAGCTTGAACTTGATTTTTCTTAGGCCATGCAAGAAAGAAACAGGGTAATGGAACTCTTATTTTCAATTTCATTGTCATTCTTAAATTTAAGGGTAAATTATAATGACATCTGTGAGCTTTTGCATTGTCAATATATATACAGTAAAACTCCTTCCCCGATTTTCGCTCCCTAGGTTCCT